CGCAAACCATCTTCTTGAACTATGCTACATTTAATCTCATTTACCCTATCCTTTTTATCCCCCTCCTAACATTTAATAAAATCCAAAAAAAAAAAAAAACCTTAATTCGAGAGATTGTCATATACACCCTGGTGCACGGTGTACCTAAGGGTATTTGTTTGCTCATTTGATAATAAAATGAACAATAATCATTTATTGAAATGAGCAAACAATACCCTTGGGTGCACCGTAATATAACAATTTCTACCTTAATTCAATACATATAAACGTTGTTTAGTTCATTTTCCCCTAATTATATCTTTTTCAATTTTATTCAATTTTCACCCCTTTTTCTCCTTTATAAACTATTTATTTTTTCATTAAATTAAAAACATATTATAAAATAAAAAAAATATATTATATACCTATGAGCAACCCGTGCATTGCACAGGTCAGAAGGCTAGTTCTTGTTCAAATGTTCTCCAATTGCATATAGAGTCATGCTCAATTGCTCATTAAAAGTGAATGAAAAATATAAAGATCATATTTAAATAACTTTAATAGGGTTTGAACTTTTAACTTATAAGGTCAAACCTTATCAGATCATTAGGATAAACCTACCTTAGCTTAATTATGAATTTATCTTATATCTAACAAAAGTATCAAAAATACAATAAATATAAACTTTTAGTTTAATTTTATTTTTATTTTTACCGATAAGGAGAAAGGTTCCTTTATTTCCTTGTGTACGTTTTGCTTTCAACCAAATATTTGTGTTTTTTCATTTCTCTTTTTTGGATCCCTTAATTTCCTTGTTTACATTTTGAGTTCAACCAAATATTTGTGCCTTAAATAGATTAATAAAATTCTACAATGACGTGTTTCACCATAAGTACATAACATTGCTTAGGAATTAGAAATTAAACAATTCTTTGATTCATGCCACTATAAACATCCAATCACGAAGTATTTAGATGTCAATGATTCCATCCAAAAGTTGAATTCTTGGCACAAATGAATCTTTAGGATGGGCCCCAACAGGCCAACTTTTATTAATAAAAAAGAATAAGTTAATTTTATTATTAACAACTTGAATTTTATATTTAGTATTTAAAAACACAAATCACAAATTACTCATATGTCACTACAAATCACTCATATGCCACATGTCACATCTCTTAATCTTTCTCTTTTATATTCCCTTTATTAAAAAAAACTTAAAATAAAAAAATTATACGGAATGTAATATTAAAATCTTTATACATTCCGTAATTTGTAAATTTAAGTAAGAAAGTGAAGTGTTGAACTAATTAGTACGCATTAATAAACATATGAATGAAGTAAAATAAAAGTAGACTTTTCATCTCCTAAATTTAAAATATAACTTAAACCAATATGCCATATCATAATTCACAATATTCATGTATATATACCTAACTAAATTCCTTTATGTTGTTTAAAAAAAAAAAAAAAAAAAACTAAATTCCTTTATCTTTTTCCACAATTCCACCCTCACTCTCTCTTTATTTTAAGTTTTAGCAGTGAAGTTCATTCACTTCAATGGCCATGAAACAATTACTTCGTATTTCCCTACCTTTTTAAAAGTATGAGTTTACTCTTATGAATAGTGTTAAGATGATTATGCCCCTAAAAATGTTTATTTACGTATTTACCCATTTTAAAAGTATGACCACACTTTTATGAATGGTGTTAAGACAATTATGTCCCTAAAATGTTTATTTACATATTTTCCCTCATTAATGTTAATTGTTTTTTTTTTAACTCTTAACATTTATACGCCTACAAGTGCTTACATATTTTGCCTAATGAACGCTACTAACAACTAAAGTTATACCATAACGCCTAATCTAAAAAACTTCCCGACATGGCTAGCTTAGCCACCCTAGTTATATCAAAAGTATTAACTATTGAAAAACATACTACATATAATAATAATTTAAACAACAACCCGTGCATCGAACGAGCCAATAAGCTAGTTTAAAATAAACATGACACCTAATAATCAATATGATCACTAAACCTATCAATTCAACCCTTTATTATTTTGATACGAAGTAACTTTTTATTCGATACTATAGAGCCACATTTCTAAAATCCCTTCAAAGCATATATATGTAGGTTACACTATTACATTACATAAATTCATTACATATCTTTTTGACAAAAATAAGAACTAACATATATTCATACATCTAATTAATCGTGTTATTTATTCAATCCATATTGGTTTCGATCATATTTTGATCTACTATATATTCTTGGTTCAGCTTGGTTTGATTCAATTTCACCAAGCTCATGCTCAAATTTTAACACCTTGCTCTCTCTTGGCTTAATAGGAATAATTTGAGTTGGAGCTAAACTTGAGCTCAATTCGATAAATCATAAATCACAAATCACATTCTACCTAGCCTCTAAGCCCAATAAAATACTAAGTTGTTACTTGACTAAATAGTATAATTTGTTTAGGAAATCTATATTCCTAACATTAGTCATCGAATTGATAACTTAATTATTAGGTCTACATATGGATAAATTATATACGAAGTATACATGATATATGTGTTAAACATTGAATTTAATTTTGACTTATTTAATATTTGACTATAAGTCCTAGCTAAAACTTGGCTCAATAACTAAAGAATAAATCCTTAATCAAATTTGACTAAACCGATTATGAACTGTTCATGAGAAATTATACATGTGTCCATCCCTTTAGTCGTCCCTTACACCTAAGTAAACAAGGGATGGAAAGTTGGAAATTCTAAAAAGCACCAACGAAAAACAAGTATCTTGTTTATCATCCACTTTTTGTAACCATAGACTAGGTGCACAATACAATATATAATATCACGTTTATGTCATACAAGGTTGAATAATTGTTATAATTAATAAAATTTTGGAAAAGTGAGTATCATGTGTGGTTTGTATATAGAAAAAATTTAAAGGTGATAGGTAACATAATCTTAATAAATCTATAAGTAAATTATATATTTACATAATTAACGAGAGTAACAAGAAAAGAACATGCATCTTGTATAATTTGATGGAACTTCAATTCCAAAAGCTCCCTTTTTTTTCCAATTTAAAATCAATGACTTAATAGTCAATTTATTATCTTAAATTAAATTGACACGCGTCACCTGATAATAAGTAGACACTTCCATCACACAATTCTGTTTAGGTCAACTAGTCTTTGTGTATATATATCATCGTTTTGCTACGCTGTCACTGCTTACACTTAGATGTTGTTAATTCATTTCCAGTCGCTCTTGAGTCTTGAGGTTTAGGGATTTTTCTTCACTTCAAATTAATCGAAGGTAAATCACTACTCCAATTTTGAGTTTTTTTTTAGTTCTCTTACATCATATTGATTAGAGTTTGAATAATGAATTTGTAAAAAATCTACATATTTTGGTATGTAAGTGAGATTTAATTTCGATCGATTTTAATTAATTTGGCCATTGGAATTGATATTCAATCTTTTCGATTGTCTTTCTTTATATGTGAAGTACTCTGGTATTGATTTACAAGCATTTAGTGTTGTGTGGTGTAATAAAGATTTCAAAATCGATAAGTTTATTTTTTTAGGCGTCATTATCTAATATTAATTCTAAAGGTATTGATTTTGATTAGTGAACAATTGGGGCGTCTTCGGCAAAATATAGCTATGAAGGTAGCTGTTAGCTGTGAATTGGTAGCTGTTAGCCGTGAAGGTAGCTGTTAGTGGTGTAGGTAGCTGTTAGCTGTCGACAAACTGTTAACTGTGAAGATAGATAATTTAGGTATGAGTGTTTGGCAAAGTAGCGGTTGAATAGCTGTTACCTATAAAAATCAATATATATTTTTAAACTAAACAACTATCTCAACAGCTACCCCTTTAATTTCAAAAGCTAACATTTCTAACTTTTGATAAAAGTTATCTCCACCACTAAAAGCTACCCTCAACTACTATATTGCCAAACACTCATATTTTTTTGTTAAGTACTAAAAGCTACCTAAAAGCTACTCAAATGCTAGCGCCGAGCACGCCTTTATTATTTTAAATTCTCTTGAATTAGTTTATTCATTGAGCAATTAATTCAATATGTCTTTGTGGGTCAAATCTATTTGTTGTATGATACATACAATCCCCTAAATTAAAATTAATTGAATCTATCATTCCGTATATTTGTTCCACGGGCATGTACAAATTTGCTTGTGAAGTTAAAAATTAAGTTTAAAATTTACTGTCTCTCTGTCTCTTTTTTTTTTTCCTTTGTGAAATAAAGTCAAGAAGTTGGAAGGTAGTGGTGGAGGGGGCAAGAAGAATGAGATAAGTAAACATAGGAAAAAGCCTTCAACATCTCGTATTGTTGATATGTATCTCATTATAAAAGTGAGTGTATCCGTTGTTAAAATGTGCAAGCAAGCCTAAAAACAAGCATAATTGAATGTTGGTTATTCTGAAGCCATTGCAAAAATGTGTGGCAACTGACTTGTATAAATATCTAGTAAAAATAAGATAAGCTCTCTTCATAATTTGATAAAAGTAAGCATGTTAGACCATTCAAGAACATACAATTAGGGAGTATTGATCATTACATAACATATGTAGTGTCTATTTTTCATTTATCCTTCTAAGGATGATGATAATATGAAGCCACCTAAACAAAAGTGGTTGAATGTCATACACAATTTCATTAAGTATGAGGTAGATAGATAAATAGTCATAATCTCATAACTCTAACATTGCAATGTTGTGCATGCATTGAAAATTTGATACAACATTCATCTACAAACATTGACTCCTACATACCTTATCTAATAGGAGTAAAATTAATTATACTACTAAGTTTTTTACTTTATCAAGATCATAGTCACTTTCACCTTTCATCACCTTTGAAACTTACTAATTAAAAAAATGACCATATTCCATTAATTTAAACCTACTAAAAAAGAGTGAAAAAACAGGGGTTATTTTCATAGTTGACTAATCCACCCCTATTACCTTAAACCAAAGATTCCAAAAAAGTGATTAAAAACAGAATATTGAGAAGGACAAAGTTGTCAATTCAATGGAAAAATATTCTCTCTCTTCCTCACTTTTCCCACCACCTCTCTTGTCCATTCTTCAAGGCCACTTGCTTCTATCTTCAGGTGGCGGATGCCATTTTCGGCCCAAAATCAAGAATATCAAAAGTAATTTCTATTTTTTGAAAAATAAAGGGGAAAAACAGAGAGCCTTCAATACAAAAACAACATACTTTTAGGTCAAATGGTATCATTGATTTGGTATTCAAAGCCCTAATAATCACAAATTATTCTTTGTTTTTCCAGAGTTCAGCTCAACTGGTAAGTAGTTGTTTAACCAAAAGTCTTCGAGTATATTTTCTTAAGCTTAATCTTTATCATATTCTGCTATATTTTTGGACTATGATATTCTATATTTAGTAATCTGTCTGGGATTTTTATTGCTTATTTTAGCATCTGCAAAACTGGGTATTTCTTCTTTCAGAGAATCATGTAATGGGTGTTGGTTAAAATATGGAAATTAGTTGATTTTTTGAAGTTTTGGGTGCTCAATATGAGTTGGTTATGTGAACTTTGTGTTTAATACTTGCTTATTAATATATTATGAATGAAAGTTTAATGTTTTTTTTACTGAAAACTTGTCATATAAATTTTGTGATGTGGTGATTTATTTCATCTTATTGAAGAATTGCATTAAAATGGGTCCTCCTTTCCTTATTTTTTTATTTTTGGGTGGGGAGAGGGGATTGGATCATTAGATGATGATGTGGTAATTTGGGTGACGTTCATATAATCAGAAATGGTGTTTTTTTTGTTTAGATGATGGTTGTTAGAAATTTGTTCATGAGGCTAGAAACTATATATTTAGTGTTATTTGCAATTAATTCTTCTGTGGTGTTGGTCCATGTGGTCGTGTTCATACTATGTTTGGTGGTTATGACCAAAATATAGTATGGATGGTTCTGTAGTTTGGAGTTCAAGGAATACAATCGAGCTAGCTATAGACACTTATGCATTTATTGATACAGGGACATGGTGCATCCTGCATATGAGTTCTGCATTTGGGTGAGCGTGATCGTTGTATTTTGTGCCACTGTTTGTGTGGCTGAAAGTGAGAAATGTCCCCGGGAACCTTTGAGTAATGATGCCTGTGGCTCTTATTCAAGGTATCTCAGTTTGGATTATGGCTCAGGAGAGCAAAAGATGGTGCCTTTTAACGACGATGATGGTTGTAGGTCTGAATTGCTTCACTTTTTTTCGGTTTATAGTGGTGTTTGGTCAGAAGCACAGTGTTTGAAGCCGGGAGACTTGGATATAAACAGGATTGATTCAGGAGCTGCGCTGCGTAGACAATCAATAAGGTCAGATGGTAATGTTAGTAGATCATCAGATGGTGTTGTATTTCGCTTATCTGATGGGGGCAGTGTTACCTGTTCTTTAAATTTCTTAGAGTTTGGCCATGATAAGTTAACTCCTATTGCGAATGGTGTTGGCCAAACTGTTCTTTCTTCCTGTAGTGCGCATTTACTTAGCCAAAAAGAAACAAGTTTTAGCCTATGGAGCATAGATGTAGATAAGTATACATCCTCAGATTCTTCTTCTCCTTGTGTCAGTATTGGCCCTAGTTTACTGAATTGGGGACAGAACTATTTATATCATTTGTCTGTAGCTTCCCTGACCTTAAAGAATACCTGCAATGAACGTGTTCTAAAGGTTTACAAACCTTTTACTACTGATTCACAGTTCTTTCCGTTCAATTTTAGCGAGGTAGTATTAGGACCTGGTGAAGTTACTTCCATATCTTTCGCTTACTTACCGAATGAGTTGGGTTTGTCTTCAGCTGAAGTGATTTTGCCGACAAGTTTGGGTGGTTTCTTGGTAGTGGCTAAGGGTTCTGCTGTTGAATCTCCTTATAAACTGAGGCCCTTGGTTGGCTTGGACGCTTCTTCTGGTGAGTGGTTGAGTGGGAAATTGTCCATATCTAATCCTTTCGATGAAACCATTGACCTTGAGGAAGTAACTTTATTGCTTTCAGTATTTGAAAGTAGTTGTTCTCTTTTAGTAGAGTCAATCTGCAGGAAACAGAATCCTAAAGCAAAAACCAAGTATAGCTTTTCCAGTGACAAGTTGTTAAATGGTGATACTGAACAATCAGACTCTATGATTATGACTGTTAGGCCTCTTGCAAACTGGTTAATTAGTCCTCATAAATCTCAAAGTGTATTAGAAATGGCTTTTTCACCTGATTCAGAACAAAAGGTTGTAGGTGCAATTTGTATGGAATTGTTTAGACCCTTAAAGGATGAGAAGGATATGCTCGTAATTCCATTTGAATCAGAACTGAAGAAGACAGAACCCTGGAAAGATAGAGCTTCTTTACTTTCGGTATCTATGGAGGCTGTTGGTCCTTGTGATACAAGTGAAACCACTATTTCTATATCAGTAAAAAACAGAGCTTTAACTTTGCTGAAGATTGTTAAAATTAATGAAGCTGTTGACAGCAGACAAATCCTTCAGATAAAGTACTTGGAGGGACTCCTACTTTTTCCTGGCACTGTCTCACAGATAGCATTAGTGACTTATGAATCCTCAAATTTTGAGTATAATTCCTTTCTTGAGATTCCAGGTGTAAGCACAAGCTGTAAGCTAGAAATACTGGTGAATGACTCAACTAGCCCTCTCCTAGAGGTTCCTTGCCTGAATATTTTTGCAATATGTCCCAGACAACAACGGAAATCATCTTCTCATATTTTTGACATTGCTGATCTTAGCAATAGAAAAGTACCTCTGACCTACTCTGAAAAGACTCCAGTATTAACAAAGGTATGAACAATCCGCGCTTACTGCCTTATTATCTTGACACACTTGATCTTTGGTTGCTGCTGCTCCTTGACATGCATAAGTTTGTTTTTCCTTATTGTCTGTGTTGAGGTCTTCTGCTTTTCATAAATGAGGTGGACTTGCTTTCTTCTTGTGTCCTATTGCCCAACTACTTCATTGCTTTTCAAACGTATTAGTGCTAATAGATATCAACTCGCATCTTGCAGATTCAATGCAAAAATTGACAGGGTTAGCAACTAGCAAGACATTTGACATGGTCTTGTACTATTGTTTATCGAATGTGTTGCTGCCTTGTCTATTTGCTAATATTATCATGTCTATCTGCCACATACGTTATGGGCTCAAAGAAATAAGTGATCTTTTTTCCTCTTAACATGAAATAACAATTAAGAGGCCTCACTTGTCCTTTTTGCATTCTGTGAATCTTTTTAATCCTGACTGTTTCTTGACATATTCCTTTAGGGTACTTTTTTGTTTCAATTGACTCTCTGAGGTGTATATGTCGAAGCACCTAAATTAGCTAACCCTAGTTATCCATATTCTGATATGCACACCTTAACTAGAAGTCTAGAACAACTTCCACTCCCACCACCTTCCTTGGACGAGATGGTTCACTGGTTAAGTATTTCCCTTGCCATGTCATGTGTTTGTTCTGTGGCTGCTGAATAAGGATCTGGTATACTAATTTTAATGTATCATACTTTTGTGATGATTGCTCTTAGCATACCTAACATGTGGGAAATAGAGGCATGCTCTTGTTTACTTCCGTTTCAACCTTACAAAGCATTTGTGCACAAGCTACAATTAGCTCTACTAGTTCATCTTGCTCATCTAGCAGATGATTATGCTGGACCTACCAAGAAAAATACAGAATTAATTCGTTGTTATGCTTTACAATTTTTTTTTTTTTTTTGAACCATGTTGCCCCAAATGTACAAAGCATAATGGGGAAGTTGTTTCAACTTTTTTAGGTGTCACTTTCTAAGCTCCTATCTTTTTTGTGTACCCCTCCCTGTACATGCTCTTATACGTTTGTTTTTCCATGTTTAGTAATAACACTTTCCTGTCAATAAATAAATGAATAAATAACACTACATCTTTTTTGCTACATGAAGGCATTGGATGGTGCAGTGAAAGATGATTTTTTTCATGAAGAGTGGAGAACTCAGAGCTCAATAAGTGGGCTTTATCTGCTTGACAACCACGAGCTCCTTTTCCCGCTGCTCCCAATTGGGAAATACTATGCCAAGTCAATTACAGTCAGAAATCCTAGCCGGCAACCCGTCATAGTGCAGCTTATACTAAACTCGATAGAAATTGTTGATAATTGCAAAACCTGTTATGGTCATCAACAGACACCTTCTGCAAGTAGCTCTACCTGTAATGATTCCACCAGGATGAGTATGTGTGGGTTTTCAGTAGCAGACAGTACAGTTACAGAGGCCTTTCTTCATCCAAACGGCACAGCATCATTGGGTCCTATCTTATTTCATCCTTCAGATAGATGTGAATGGAAGAGCTCGGCTTTCATAAGGAATAATCTTTCTGGTTTGGAGATGTTATCTCTGCGTGGATCTGGTGGATCACTTTCTTTAGTCTTGCTTGAGGGTTCAGAACTCGTGCAGAGATTGGATTTTACTATGAACTATCCTCTGAATTTATCCAACAATGAGGATGCTATTTCTGGCTGTCGTAAGCCATTATTAAAGAAGGTCTCCGCTTTTAATGCAGGTGATTACCCTGTCAATGTCAAGAGAATAGATGTCTCAGGAAGAGAATGTGGATTGGATGGTTTTGTTGTACATAATTGCCAGGGTTTTTCTCTGAAGCCTGGAGAATCTTTGGAGCTTGGGCTATCATACTTGTCAGATCTTTCTGGGCCTGTAGTACAAAGGGAGCTCGAATTGATTTTGGATGCTGGAATACTTGTAATACCAATGCAAGCAAGTATACCTCCAAATTCACTTAATGTATGTGTAGATTCCTTCTTTTGGTCTCCTGTAAAATGTTGCTTGGCAATCGGTTTTGTCATAATCTTTCTCTCTCTCTTTCGTTTCAAAGTGCCCTCTGAAAGTATGGATTCCTCAATTGAAGGAGAGAAGAGATCCATTCCTGTTGTAAGGCTTACAGATAAGTCATCATCAACTGTGTCTATCAGTCAGGAGAATCGAAAGGGTACTAAACCAGCTAAAACAGGTCACGTGAAACAAGTAATCATTGCAGAACATACAGATCGATTTGTGGCTTGTCGAGCTGAGAATAACCCTTCATCAGAACATACTAATCGACCTGTCAAGAATGCTTGCAAACCTGAGGTAGCACAACCTGATTCTCTGACAATCAAAACTCGTAAGGAAAAGAGAAGGCGTTCTAGGAAGAGGCATGCACTTATTGAAGTTTCCAGCAGCCAAAGTGGGAACTCTACACCATCATCACCTCTGTCTCCCATCACAACTCTTTCTCCTCCAGAAACATGCTCCCCATCTCCGAAGAAATTGCAACCTAATGATTGTTTCAGCTGTGAACCGCTAGCATCAGCAAGAGTTCCTGAAATGCAGAGTCAGAATCTTAATTCTACCCAAGAGAAACCCCCTGGTGGATCCAAGAAGATGGAAAGCCGAGCTATACTTTTGCCTTATGCTTCATGTCCTAGGACGCATATTTCTCCTTCCAGGTTGGCAATGGAACCGCATGCTCGAGCTCCTGGACCAAAGATTCATCCCCAAAAGCAGTGCAACCGGAGGAAAATGTGAGGGCAGAGGAGGATAGGTTTACTTATGATATATGGGGTAACCATTTTTCTGGACTTCATCTTTGTAGGCCTAATAGTTCATTAACCATGACCTCTGAAGCTGTAGGTCATTCTAATAGCTTCTTTCTTCGGGGTCCTCAACAAACTCTCATTGCAAACTCTCGACCTCCATCTGTAAGTAGTTTCTGTGATGAAGGTTAATAATATATCAGAAAAATAATCATCATCTTTTTTGGTAGTAGTACTGTACACGAAATTTATGTCATAATGATAGAAATACTAGGGAAAAACAACATGTCATATGGTAAATGATAATTATGCATCCTCCGTTCCTTTAATGTTGCAACATAGGAAGTGTGCAAGATTTTAAGTAGTGGGAAAGAAGGAAGAGAGATAAAAATTTCAAATTAATCCGTGTAACTGTCCCAGAATTCACCCAATTAACTGCCCCTGCTTGGTTCATGTATGGTTGAAACTGGAAAGCAATTGAAAACATAATAGCCCTATTTCATCATCAGTCGCTTCGTGTCTGACTCTGGTAAGTGCATATCGTTGGTATTCTCTCCAAATGTTTGCTAAATTGACAACCATTTGGTGGCTATCTTCACTTTGCGACAAAGGGAAATAATCAAGATGAAGGGGAAATTTGGGTAGATAAAAGAAGAATTATAAGTTAACATTCCAGAGTTATGTTAATCAGTAGCTATCTGAGGAAGAAAATGTGCATAATTATCTGAATTATTCAATAACTGTAGTTTATCAAAAACACCAAATTTTCAAATAATACGGTACCTCATCATTATTGGAACATCCCCAATGATGAATGGGATGGTTAATTACAGACAAATTATATCTGTTTCACTGCATTAAACTAACAGTGCTCTACAGAATAAGGACAATAAACATAGAAAAGTCAAATTAGCTAAGATGATGGGTGTGTTGAGTGATTTGTCACTCAATTTTAACACCTCGGGACTAGAGATGAAATCCTGATATTCCTCAATCTCTTACGAGATTAGTTATTTTATTTACTTTTATCTTACCAAGTCGTAAGTTTTCCTAGAGTTAAAAATAAAATTACTAAACATAGTCAAGCAAGCATTAACAACACTGATCAACACGTGATTTTGTCATCTAAATGTATTACATGATATTTACATGTTAAGAGTGATACATACCATTACTATGATATATTGCCTTAATCATGCATGCATTTATGATGCACTAATGGTGGATTTATAATATTAAGTTGAGTAGTTAGGATTGAATGACGTACGTAGAGACGTGCATGACTTGTTAATTGCTGCATTTCTACCAATATCCGGCCTATTAAGTCTTGCCAATATCAATTAATTTGTAAATTACGGGTAACGTCCCTTTCTTAATGATATGAAGCTATGATTTCCACTGAAATAATATCCATCTATCTATCCCAAATTGTTTTTTCCTGTTTGAACTTCATTTAAGTTTTAAAGACCAAGCCTTCTGATTATGACTACTAGTGTTGCGAGATCTGGTCTGATAGCTATTTTAGGTCCCAATTTGTTTTCTTCTAATGAGTTTTCATCTTGTTTGACTTTACTTGTGTAGTCCGCTTGGTAAAAGGTCATAAATATTGGTAACGAGTTTGTATTAATACTCCGTATATGAACGCTTTTAATAATGGACTAGATCTCAATTCTCCACCCACAAGTATGTGTACGTTTTTGTTATGTTACCGCTTGATATGTAACAAAACTAAAAATATATTAAGATTGATTCATTGATAGGTTTCCTTGCTACAAGCAAAGGAAAAAAAAAAAAAACATTCCTTGTAATTATCAATTTGCCTATCAATTCAGTTCCATTGTTATCATCAAGTATTGACTGAGTACATAGGAGATGGAGGGATGGTTCCCCCCAAGTGGTTGGGGGTTCGATTCTCATCCCCCATTCCTGTGATAGATGGGGGACCCCCCTCCCCCACCCCCCGTCCGGCGTATCTTACCGTATAAAAAAAATAAATAAAAAAATCACATTGGACTAGTGTATATGACATGATCATACAAACTCATTACTATTACCTCAAAATATGAATCAATATCGCACAGACCATCAATGTACGTAATATGTTCCAGTCTAACTCCTTTCCGTTTATAAAAGACATCATAAAGGTACGGAGGCAAAAAATGATGAGCTTCAAGTATCGATTAACTTGTTGCTGTGGCTGAATGTAGCATCATTACACTGGAAACCTGGTGTTTACCAAGATAGTGGATAGTTGTGGTCCAATTTTGTACGTGCTTGCAAAAGTTACGTCGTGGTCTGACCAATATATGTACGTTGATCGATCACATAGCAAATTAAATACAACAAAAGCCTTTAAATTCTTCTATCGGGGACCTAATTTAATACAAGTAAGCCTTTAAATTCTTATAAAGGGCACCTAATTTAATACTAGCTAGTAAAACTTTGCATGAAATGGGCACATATAAGATATGAGTAGCTTTCATGGTTTGCTGGTGCTTTGTTGTGAAAGCTGAAGGTATAATGGATTAATGGTTACTGATTTGGACCAAGGGCAGTCGTGTAATCATAAAGGGCGACATGGTTACAAGATTATGGATGTGAAATAAAGTTTCTCTTTAGTATGGCTAAGGTGGAGTGAAAAGGAAGGCATATAAATGATATGATGTACCAAGCTTTTGATGAGAAGATGAGCTGATTCGCAAGCTTTGCAGGTTACTTGAACTTGACTCGGTCTAGCTACAATTCGAGTAAATTCAATTAGATAGAACTCTGTTCGAATCTATAATAGATTGAGCTAATTTGAAAAATTCATGATTTAAGAAATTAAAGTACTTGTTATGATAACTTTCTTATTGAATTGGGAGCTCTTGAACATAATTATCTATGTGAAGTTCGTCTTGTAATAGAGCATGAGTCATGATTACAAGTTAGATATATTTTTTTCTTTCTAAGTCTACCGTTTTAAAGTGTGGCGAGTTTAGAGGAAACCGCAGCTCACTAAAAATAAGTTAAACTTTGCTCAAATCAACTCGTGATTTACTCGCTCAGTTATATATCATCCTCGGATGACCATGTGGCAATTAATATGGGTAGAGAAACGAAATAGGCTGTCTTTGCCCTCATTCCGTAGCAAAAGAAGAAGAGGGGAGAAGGGAACCAATGAACCATGAATGCAAACGAAAGAGAAATAACAAAATAAACAAACCAATAAAGAGTATTAAAATGTATAAAAACAGAATGATAATGGTATGTAGTGGTAAGTTTTGGTATAAAAGCTAAGGTTGTCCCGTAAAAAGGGTTTGATTACCCTTAGTAGTTCTCAAAGAGTTGGAAGGCATTATGTTTTATTATGTAATGTGGTGGTCCATATTATCATCACCCTTACCATGTAATGTAATGTGTCCACATGTATTGCTAATACTTTATTTAGTGCCTTTAGCTTTGGTGGCCCCTCTTTTGGCCTTTTTAGCCCTTTAGTTTTTTTTCTTATAACCAAATTATTGAAGATTGGCCTAATGGCTATCCAACATTATGTTTTTTCAATGAGCTAATCACCATTTGATCACTACTAGCAATGGAGCACAAATGCACAACATCATGGGACGGGCACAGATCGCCTATATAGCGTGTAAATCCTCAAGATTTAATCTAAGTCAACCTCTCTCTCTCTCTCTCTCTCTCTCTCTCTATATATATATATATATATATATATATATAATATATATATATATATAAATATATATATATATATATATATATATATATATATATATATATATATATATATATATATATATATATATATATAAACAAGGAAATTAACATACAACGACATTAACCTACACCAAATCATTTGAATCAATATAGGCACACGTGTATGGAGAGTTACTTCATATATTTAGGAGTATGCATGGGTAGATTTGATAAAGTCTCGAAGGTTTATTATAATTAATATATCTTGCTATTCTCCCTATCAAATTATTACATAAATAAAATATTGGGGTAAGTTTATTAGCTTGGAGTAATGAATTTGTTTTGTTATCTTTTTGTTTTTTGACAACCGTGTTTTACATGTATCTTATCTAGATTAGTATATTACTACTCGAAATTAGCTCTTATAGTAACACTTAAGGAGGTTTACCATAAACTTTTTCCTAAAATATTATGGCGATCAGGCGATACATGCTAATGTTATTAGAAAATTGGTTCGACTTCTTCCATTTTAAAATTCAAACAATATTTGACTTTATTACATAATTGTCCATTGAAATTTTAAATTAATAATAAATAAGAGGTTTACAAATGTAATGTTATCAAATATACATTTATATCAACCAAATAATTATTATTTTTATGAAACATTGTTTTATATATATCTATATATTATATTACTAATAAAATGAGGTCAAAAATTAATAAATGATATTAAAAAAAAAGTCAAATATTATAAAAATTAATAATAACAATGATAAAATATATCCGAATTATAGGGTTTACTTAATTTCATTATGATCCTCAAATGTAGAATGTTAATATAAATTTATTATACACAAACCTACAAAAAACAGTGGCATTCTTGCAAATATTCCTGGCAAATGAAAATTATTTTTCACGAGCTAGCTGCCTAGCTTCTAAACCTAGCATACAAAATAATTGAGTGAGTAATTAATTAATTACAGTTGCAATAATCAGTTACGGAGTATAATTAGCTAAGCTACCTGGAGCTGTGTTAGAATCTTTCTTGGCTAATCATTAAATGGCACGTTTGGTTGCTTGGTTTATAAGTCAATTTGCCACATCTAATTAAATTCCGTCCGGCTAATTAATTATCATTAATGCGGTACGTCGTTGTCAACAATTCCAACTTGTTATTCAGCAACGATAATCTACTCTTAATTATTATAATTAATTAAATAATTGAGTTATATATTGATTGCTTACACTTAGAATAGTTAGATAAGATAAGCTTTGAAAGGTTATAATAATATACATACTATCCCACTCACTGATTAGGGACGATGACATAGTTGCATTAGTACTAATGATCCGAATATCCCTTATTTTTGGCGTGTCGACGTACGGACTACGGAGAAACTAAAATCTTCATACACAATTTTGTATTAATGCAATTAATGATTAGATTAAAGCCGTCAGAAAGATAGCCACAATTAAATTGAATTCCTAAGCTAAAGACAAAAGGACGGATAACTAAGGATATGCGTTCTATTCATTTGAGTTTTACTTATATTTCATATGAACTCATCTTGTTATAACATATTTTAATTGTAAAATGAACTTAGACTCACTTAGAGCCTTATCAGAACATATT